CTCTCACGACAAGCATGGGTTACTGAAGATCAATTCTAAACCGGATCTTCACGGGTCGGTTGAATTACTTTTATGACATCGTGCAATGTCCACAGCTACAAAAATAAATATCACTCTGTGCTGGCTTTGTTAAGCATATACATTGTATGTGTCCATGTCGAGTAGGATACTGAGGAATTCAGTATTTGATACATTCTGTAATCTATCAAGAGCTTTTAAAAAAATGTCTTTAATGATTTCAGTATTACATATGGATTATGATATATTTCAAAAGATAACACCCTAAGGTTTGCCTTTGGCACTCTTGATCGGAACATTGTGTGAACATAATTCCGGATCTTCGTATATTGTGAATTGCAGCTATTAGTCCATGATTTTATACCATACTCATCATATGTGTCAGATTCAGTTGTTGGGGGTAATTACGTTCCAATAGCCTTATATGCATAAACGTTAGTCGTTGCAGAAGGTTTACTTGTTTCACATTATGTTCTCATTGTGTTCATTCTGTGTGAGAATAAGCTCCATAACAACATATGCATATTTATTGATGACTCAAGCACTTGCATATATTTATATCTTACGAGCCCTTATCTACTCAAAGAATTTTCATTGTCAGTTAGCAATAAACTGGGAGTGATCATATCAAACCTTTGCCTTTTCAACAGCAAATCCCCTGATGTCCCCGTCAACAAGAGATCAAGATCGGCCTTTGTTTCAAACAAACAGGGGTAAACACGAATGCTATCTTTTTCTCACGTATTTTACATGAAATTGCTGGTGAATATATGACCTGGTCCTCTCTATTAGTAACCTTCTCAATACTGAGTGTAAGGGGACCAGTAAAATTACGAAAAGGGTAAAGAAATAATGACGCCGCCACGCAACTATCAATATAACTTAAATAAATGTTCAATGCGAAGACTCTTTCTAATTTTAAACAAAACTATGACTCTACAATACATTTATGAACGCCTTTAAAATGTATTAAATCTGGTGCATCGATAAGCAGATAAACCAGATTAAGAAAGTATTTCCATACATTCTTCCTCATCAAACTGCATACCGAAATTGAATTCAGAAATATAAAAAAAGAATGGAATTTAATTTGGATAATAGTGAGGACATTAAATAAAATATTTTCTTTTACACATGATACAAGATCATGATATCGCTGCCAGTACTGATAATATCAATTTTCAGATGCTAAACATAAACCTCATTCCTGCCTAGAAACATTGTGAAATATGTTTAATCATGTCTGGACAACGGTTGGTTGTTGGGTTTTTGTGTGTGTGTGTTGCGAATCTCTGAGATAATTTCAATACCTGGGCGAAGCCGGGATGACTCTGAGCCTTCCAGTTTTGAAGCAGATATCGCTTACCAGCAGTGATTAGAAGACAATGGAAAGATTGGTCAATAATAGATTAAAATGGTACTAAGAAACAAATAAGCTGATTAGAAATGATAGAAGCACTGTTGACCATTGTCTGGATAGGAAACGTTTGTTAAAATTGCTATAATCAATAAATAAAATACCGTAACCATATTATCAGAAAATATGGAGAGGGGGGGGGATGTCCACGATGTGTGTGCTTAGTCTATCCGAAGTTCCAGATGTTGTTGATGGATCATCATTTGTCGATGACTTTGATAAATCATGTACATGTAAAGATGTTTTTACACCTGCTCACGATTGAGGGACAACTCCCCAGGAAGGCTGTACATTGACACAATATTAACGTCATGGCACGTCATTTTATAACGTTAGGTCACAACGTAATGTCCGCGTTGCAAATTTACGTTGAGGAAACGTTATGCGTTGGGCTCCTCACAACGTTATAACAATGTTTCTTACATTTTGGTGTCACGAAGGTTTCTGGAAAACTTTTTCACTTTGAGATTCTGTCTTCACTATTCAGCTACAGCTTCAGAATACACACGACCAAAACAAAAAAGTAACTTGACGAGTGATAATAATAATAATAATAATAATACAGTAGATTTGTTATGCGCCAAAAACTCTAAGCACTTAGTGCCTGCTCATAGCGCTACACAAAATTAAAATACACTGCAGTAGAGATATATTTACACTGGTAATTCAATCTTTATAGAACTTTTGGAAGAGGTGAGTCTTTAGGTAGCTTATATAGATTGTCAATGATTGGGATTACTTTATTGCCTTGGTCCATAGCTGTTCCATAACATGAGTTAAGAATATTATGTCAACCGTACAAATCATTGCCTTTGCGTTTTCGTATTCGGCAAAACCTCTCTTGGCATACACTAAGGAACTAGTGTAATGAGAATGCTCAGGAAGCAATGGGGCGAAAGCAAAAGATTACTGACCTCTGTGAAACACGTTGGGCAAGTCGTGCGGGTTCACTATCCACTTCCAAAGTATCATTCGATGTTATAGTTGAACGTTTGAGTGCCCTTGATCAAGATAGCGACTCTAGAGCAAGGTCCCTTAGATGCTCCATTCAATCTTTTGACTTCATCATTAGCCTTGTTGCTCAACACATAATCCAGTACACAGTTCAGTTATCTCTCGTGTTGCAGTCTCCGACCATGACCTTATTCGTGCATCAAACGAGGCCTCTGTTGTCATCAGCAGTTTGAGACAGAGTCATGATGATGAGTCTGTATGGGAGGAACTTTTCAGTAAGGCATCTGATATGGCAAGCAAATACGACATTATTCCTACAAAGCCAAAACGTGTGAGCCGTCAAACGATGCGCGACAATGGCCTGCATCCACACCTGAAGTCTACTAGAAGAGGAATCTTTTTTACCCTTTGCTGGATCATATGGCACAGCAATTAGAGACAGGCTTATCTGTCCCAGTGGCCGATTCGAAGCTCAGAACTTTGTACCTACTTCGGTCCATAATATGACCGAGGAAATGGGTAGGCGAAGATTCGCACAGTTCACTGAGCTGAAAGAGACTGACTGACTGAGTTTGGTTTTACGCCGCTTTTAGCAATATTCCAGCAACATCACGGCGGGGGACACCAGAAATGGGCTTCACACATTGTACCCATGTGGGGATTCGAACCCGGGTCTTCGGCGTGACGAGCCAACGCTTTAACCATTAGGCTACCCACCCCGAGCTGAAAGAGAACTCACATGAGCAACAAACGGTAGAAATCAGGCAATGGCAATCACGTTGGCAAGATGTTCCAGCAAAGGAGAAACCATCGTGTTTGTTAACACTGGACTTCGCAAAAAAACCATGTTTATCCAAATATCCATGTTGCCCTCAAAACACTTGTGACAATGCCAGTGTCTTCGGCAACTGCTGAGCGTTCCTTTAGTGCATCTCAGGTCAAAACATATCTCAGGTCAACAATGGTAACGGAACGGCTTAATGCACTTGCACTACGGATTTGATGTCAACTTTGATAAGGTGGAATGATTTTGCAGAAAGGAAAACCCGCAAAATTGCTAGCATTCTCTTCAAGTAGAATTGATGCATACAGTAACTGATGCTAGCAGTTCTGTCCCTGGCTGTTTCAAACAATTTCATAGTTGATTTAGCTCTTCTTGTTTTGTTCCCTTTACAACGTTCATGTATTTCTGAGAGTTCCGGTTTTATTGTTTTGTGGTTTATTGCACGTGTACTTTATGGGTCCAGTTGCCCTGATATGGTGTTTGAAATAGTTACAAATTGTTTCACTGCGTTATGACTTTTCCAGATAATGTTTGTTAGAACCTGCTCGTTTGGTTCGCCTGATGTTTTAGTAAGTTTGCGGTAGTCGTTCATCAAAACTTTAAGCTGTGCTTACAACTGAAATTTTCCTAGGTGCGCCCTGCATATATCTCAATCATGTCTGCCAGAGCAGTGTGATTAACACACTTATATCACAAAGTAGGAATCTTGTCTTGGACTCGCGCTTGGACTGGAAGCCAGTGTAGGGAGGTTAGCACAAGTGTTATATGTGCACAAGTCTTAGTTGGGGTCGGGATCCGTGCTGCAGTGTTTTTGACACGTTGGAGTTTGGCAAGCTATTCCTGGCTTAGATTTCCCAACAAGCTATAACAATACAATACAAGTGTTCTTGCTGGCATATGCGCCATATCATTAGGGAGAAGATATCTAATGGAACCAATATTCCTGAGATGAAAATAGCAAGTGTAACAGATTTAAGATATGTGATCATCCATTGATAGATTATTGTCAAAGACAACACCAAGGTTCTTGACACAATCAGAAACTGTAATTTTCAGCAAGAAGAGCCTCCGTTTTGCTGTCATTTAGTTTCAGCTTGTGTATAGTCATCCAGGACTTGATGCTGTCAGTGCACACTTCTATTTCAGTCACGGATCAACTGGTATGTAACAACGAAAGCATAACGTTGTGACAACGTTGTGACAATGTGAAATTGTTAGCTGGGTCTTGTTTTGTCTATGATTGGTCACAACATGATAACTGTTCAACAAACGTTTCCTCAATCACAAAACGTATTATATTTGCGTTCATTTCAATATATACTACTCACACTTTGCTAAGGATCACAAAAATTCACAACTTTACTTTGAAACTGTATCCATTTAAAACTGGATGAATAATAATGTGGTAACCTCTCTCTAGGCAAACAGCAACTTTAATCTAACCTTATGCACTTGGTACATGAGTAACCATAAAAATGGTTTTCATGGCACCAATCCACCATTTTGCAAATCATGGAACGAGTTATTGACAAATAAACAACATATGTCAATAGCAGGTATGGGATCCACAAGATGCAATGACATACTGAAGCCTAGGACCCATGCTTACAATAAGCTTAGGTATTTAAACCAAATTTGTCCCCACATAATAGTTTTCTGTTGAATCCATGATTTGATCCTCAGCAGAGTGTGAATAGTATAAATCACACAGGGACAGGGACTTACATTTCGGGACAAGTCTGCTAGATCTGAAAGCATATTTTGGGAATAATCCATGATTACCATTTTACTTTCTTGTATAGCAGATATCTTTCTGAAGGTTTATTACAGCTGTTTCTAAATCTAAGTGGGCACGAGAATAGTCAACATTCCTTCAGTTGTTTAAATCTCTTCGTTCTAAATCTGAAAATGGTTCATCCTGACAAAGCCAGCATGAAGTAAACTTAAACAACTAGATTCCAAATATGATCAACATCTAAGAGTCTTTCTTTGATCTTTCATGGTATCTCCTTCTGGCAGTCTGCAGGATGAGGCGGATGAGCCGTTTCTTAAAGAGCGTCGCATGAAGCTGTCTTTACAGTTAACAGGGTTATATTCCAATGAGTCAAACCCTGCTTATAACTATATATTTAATCCCCTTTATTAGGATCTTGGCAATATAAAGTCATCAAAGGAACCCTTCCAAGAAATGATAAAATACAGATAATCGTATCAAATCTAAAGTCGTACTTGACTGATTACTGTAAATGCTGCAGTGTTTCAACATAGAGCCTCATCAGACCATCCCACAAACTGTTTAACAATGGAGTGTCAATTAGCAACAGAATTGCAAATATAATCATCAGCAAAAGAAACTCGTACACCATTTGTAATGTTAAGAGCGTGAGTTGCAGATGATATTACATGTGAGGTTGACAATTTCTAGTTAAGTTTTTAGTCTTGTGAATCATCATATTTGAATTACTGAATCTGACTAAGACAGGGTAAGGCTTCCGGCATCCTCCCAGCGGAGTAACTTGCTCCTAGTGTTTCGCGAGATCTTAACCTTTCCAGAAGATTAACACCATAGATGGTGGAATAAGCTGATCGGTTAGTTATAGGCTAAAGGTTAGTTATCTTATGCAGGATAAACATTTGTTACTGATAACAACGTGCCAGTATCTTTGCTACACAATTCATAGTCTTCTCCAAGAATCTTTAGAACCGACTGTACGACCACAACAACAGTGCTAGTTGTCCTGGAAGGTCAAGCAGACATCTAACTCGCAGTGGGTGTTAATTTGAATTCGTTACTGATATAATACCCACGCGATGCTGTCATTTATTTCCTATGTTTGAGAATTGCAGCGACTTCCTTGCAGTTTTGGCTAAGCATATTGGATTTGATCAGATGCACACCCGAAACTGAAGGCTTGGTACTAATTTCATTATTGCAGTATGTGCACTTCAGCTTTCTAAACTGCTTGCAGAGATAACAGTACTAAAATTAACTTTGCAAGACAAGACGTAGACTTTCCGAAAATATACAAAAGCAAGGGTTTTTTTTGCTTGCATGACGCAGTAATGTCCCATCGCAACATTGGTGCTAACTTGAACATTAATCACACGGTTATTTGTCGACTGGTGATCGACCACCGGTGACGTGAAGCATCGTCCATGCCTGGAACAACGAGGAAGACATATAAAGACCATTGATCATGATGAGCGTGGTGGTTTTCAAAGCATATGTAACAACATGTAGTGCTACCCATGTGTATAGATTAGAAATCGTAATCAGGTCTCATATCGGAATGTTCATTTCTGAACCTGATTTACCATCCTCGATAATCTCCAGGGCATACGTTCCGATAAATCTCCACTGCTACGGCTCGGCCCGATCATTCTTTTACCTCCCTTTGCTGGCTTTTTATCCAAGCAGGTGTCTTCGCAGGGAGGTTGAGCGTACCAATCACAAGGCTTCTATTATAACTCCCTTCCGCTTCTATTATCTAACCGATTAAACTTGGCAACACAATTGTTGCAGAGGTACCCCTTGAAAGAGGTAGAAGGAGTTTTTGCATATATTCTTTGAAGGATTCGGACCTGTCAATTTTGTCCGTATGATTTTTTCCCTAAATCTGGGTCGCTAAGCGAGCAAACCTTCGAAGCTGCGGTGCACGCAATGTGCAATACAGCGTACCCACTGCATACAGTGGACTACGATGTGTATGAGTTTTAAAATACCATTCACTGAAGCCAAAAGGACATGTCAACGTATTTTACAAATATACTACTACTGTAAAACACAAGCAGAATACGACATGCAAATAATACGTCTGACCAAATGTAAGACTTTGTTTAGTAAAGCAAATACTAAACGATGATCTTCGCTGAACGTGATCTCTTCACAAACTTGTATCTCCTGCTCTCTAAGCGCGGGTTGGATTCTGTACAACCGGCATACAGTATGTTGTTTGGATATCAATTTACCTGAAGGAATCAATCAAGTTATCCTTTTAACACGTGTTCATTGTATCACATTTAGTTACAATCAGCTTATCTGTGAGAGGTTTTGATAACGTAAAAAAGTTCGCCTTTCTTTTTTGACATCCTCAAGCGAGAGAAAACTGGACAAGCCATGCCAAGGGAGGAATAACACTAAGTATACTAAGTATTCCCTTGTTTCCACGGGGTGGAGTTGATGGTCATGATCACCAAGGAAACAGTAGTAGAGTTAAGCTGACACATACACACAGAAACTCTCCACGCAAGTGTCATATAAGTATGCCAATATCTCCAGAAGCTTGGTATCATCGTACATAAGTCGCTGTGGGAGGAGTGTTTAGAAACGTAGTCGGAAGGACACAGCTTCAGATGTGGTCAAGTCAACTTAGTTGACATGCAAACCAAAAAAGGATGGCGGCTACCGATTCTTTCTACATTCGCAAGAATATCTCACCACGTTTCTCGTTATTCGACGTTTGAAGACTGCAGCTAAAGTCGCTTATGACCTTTCACTCATATTTTTTACACAAGCAAATGAAACAAATGATTAACAAACATTTGCACTTGTTTTAAAGGGTTGAGATGCAATAGTGCATGTCACAGCCACAAACGCCGTGTAAACTGTGACTGAACTGCGCGGTGACGTGATTCAGATACTACACTCTGTCAAAAAAGAAACGCAACCCATGTCTTCACATATAAGAGACTTCGTAGAATAAAGGTATTGTTTGCAAATGTAATTTGTGTGAGTATATCATGTACGTCGTTCATGAACGTAAGCGTTCGAACACACCGATTAGCATTCATAGGGATCTTTTATTGTCTCATTTCTTCACCATGCATGAAGTTTTCATGGTGACTACGCCAAAAGCCAAATGCACGTGCAAATTATGGAAATGACAGTTAATATTGGGGTATTTAAAATCCCGTGTGAATTCGCATCTGACTCCATCATTCGTCGCGGAAAATCAAAATCGAAAATGCCGAGTTTGAGTGCTGCAGATAGAAATATCGCCATTGGCCGGAGAAAGTTTCGGAAGGGTTGCACGACACTTCAGTGTACACAAAACAACGATTTCCCGACTTTGGAACCGTTTCAATCAATTCAATTTGAAGTGGTAGGCCCAGAATCACTACGCCAGCTCAAGATCGGTTTATCCGGCTCCATCACCTACGTAATCGGCAAGCCATACCGACTGACACAGCAACACAAGTGCCGGGTGTGAGGAGAGTGTCAGCACAAACGATCAGGAACCGTCTGCGAGAGGCCGGTCTACCAGCAAGAAGACCACTTGTTGGACCTGTACTACGCCTCCTACGACTCAGGTGGTGTAACAACGTTAGCATGTGGACCCTGAGAAACTGGAGGCGTGTCTGGTTTAGTGACGAATCACGTTTTCTGTTACAACGTCATGACGGAAGACAGCGGGTCTATAAACGACGAAATGAACGTTGGACACCAAACTGCGTTATACAAGTGGACTGATTTGTTGGCGAAAGCGTCATGGTTTGGGGAACCATGTCACACAACCAAAGATCCGACTTGGTGATCATTTGTGGCAATCTGACAGCTCAACGCTACATCATCCAAACAGTGAATTTCTTACATAATTCTAACGTAAATGTGTTGCCATGGCCCTCCAGATCCCAAGACCTCAACCCCATAGAGCATCTGTGGGATTTTCTTGACAGACGTGTACGTCAACATAGACCGCCGCCGCAGACGCTCGAACAACTAGCCGTTGCACTAAAGGAGGAGTGGAGACCAATCCCTCAGGAAAGAATCCGACGTCTGATCCTTTCAGGAGGTGCCGTGTAGTGATTGCAGCTCGTGGTGCCCATACGAGGTACTAAGAAAGACGCCCCCTTGTGACAAACCAGTCTCATTGAGGGGACGGTTAAGATAATTATCTTAAACTTGAATATCTAGACTATCATTATGTCAAATGTCACTGTTTTGTCTTCTAAAATAAATGCGTTGTACAATCTACAAAGTACACGGGTTGCGTTTCTTTTTGACAGAGTGTATATATCTGCAAATTCCACTGCTTGATATGTGTTTTTATTTAGACAGAGAAGTTTGGTTGTTGTTTATTACAGTTTATTCACTTAATAATATAGTTTACCTTTTTAAAAACAAAACATGTAAAACAATTTCAATTTCGTGCACTGGATAGAAGAATTACCAGCTCGCTGCGTGAAATGAGCAAGCTGGTTGTCCATATTGTGAAATATTTGGAGAAGTATTTTTCATTCACAACTATTGCCCATATCATACAATGAGCAGTATTGTTTAAAAGAAGCACCATTTGGGTGTGAAATAATGGAAACACAGTCATCCCACAGCAGGCATCAGAGAGTTCTTGTGTAAAGGACATATTCTTAAGCGATTATTGCCTCCTCGAACTGTTGCATTGTTTAAGCAGCATTTCGATATTTTAGTTTTAACACCAGAAATCGTAGAAAGCTTCTACGATTTGGAATTTAATTCTGGCAGGTCGATCTGTAATGAACATTTAGTTTCATATATTGTACTCACTGATAGAATACGTGATCATGAACGTAAGGAGCAAACATATCGACCTAGGTCACAGATGATGTGTAATTTCAGTTTTAAGTTTTAGACTCATCTGTCATTGTTTATATAATTAGTTCGTACAACCTTTTAAGTATTGCTTGGCGCTTATGAAAGGTATATGTTAGTTCATGGTTACTCTGGGATTTGCTTATTACATTGTCAAATCTGGTAGAACATATTAAGAAAAAATAGATACAAGTCATTTTAATGACAAATTGGAAACCTCGGCAACCAGTCAATGGCATAATGTCCAGAGTTACTTAACAAGCTCAAACACAAC